AAATTAATAAAATTAACATTATTAAATTATATATATATATATATATCTTTATTTAGGTTAGACAAACCCTTTCTCTATTCTGCTTCTCCAAATCACACTTAGGCCTATTTGGTGAAGTTTCTTGTAACTTTTACTTTTTTAGTACTATTTATGAATCATAAGTTTAAATTTTTATTGGAGGAAAAATTTAAAAGTTACTTTTAAAAATAGTAAAAAGTCAGTAAGAAGTGAATAAAAATGCCCTTACTGGTTTTTCCATTTATTCTACAGGGACAGCGATAATGGTGTCGGAAGCTGCTCACCAATTTATTGCTCGTTTAAAGAACATGTAAAATATTTTGCTTTTAGTTTTTTTTGTTTTTTTGAATAGTGAATTGTATTTATTTATATATATTGGAGTACAAGGGATACTCCTAACCCATAAACAAGTTATATCATATTAGGCTGCATACAAATTTGCTTCCTTTTGAAATTTAGAATGGTTATCTTTAGGAGGGATTGCACTTAACTTAAGAAATCAGTTTAGGGTGGAATTTTATTTTTAAAAAATCTAATCTTCTAGCAGATAACAATCTTCTATAGTAGAGTCCAAGGCCATGGAACTTGTATAGCCACCCTTGCATTAAATATGGCTGCAAGTGGTTGATGGTGACCAAGATAGCACCTTTAGTTAGTTTCTGGCAGGATATCCAGCCTTTGGTTAGCATCAAACGGCATCGTTTCGAGAATCAAGTTCATTTCCATGCTTTTGCTACCCAGCCTCTTTCTGGCAAAGTCGGGCAATATCGCCAGCGCCAAGCATCGTTGGTGTGGATGCCTTGCTTCACCAGACGGGCAGCGTTCATCCATCCATGCTTGCCAAGCCACTACTGCCATAATTTATCTTGAATAATTTCCATGAGCTTGGATTATGGGCTTGTGTTTATCTACAATGACAGCAAAGCACATGTGAGTATACATTTAAGAATAAGAAATATATAGGCATATGCAGCGAAGAAGGAAACTCCCCCGTGCGTTGAAGGGGGCTATGTGGATGAATATTTGCTGCTCTCGTTTGCTTCCTGGCCATGGTTGGCATCAGTATATTGTTGTTGTACATGGTTGGCGTTGCACCAGAATGAGGAACAAGTGGTATGGGTGTGTATTGTGATATTGTTGTCCCGAGCCAAGCTTCACTGGCCAGCAATACCTACTGATACGTAAGATATGGAAAATATATGTTATGAGTCGAGATTATCGGCGATTGGTAATTTTGTCCCTTTGTATAGAAGAGCGACTAAATGCATGACCTCCGACTATGTTATGTATGTATTGTGGGGCTAGCCATGCATAGCCTTTTCATAGCTAGAGGGACAACAGTGGCTAGCTTTGTCTATGGCTGGAGCATGAACTATGTG